AAAAGTCGGAATTCTGAGATTAAAGTCAGAATTCTGAGATTAAAGTCAGAATTCTGAGAAAAAAGTCAGAATAGTGAGAAAAAAGTCGGAATTCTGAGATTAAAGTCAGAATTCTGAGAAAAAAAGTCAGAATAGTGAGAAAAAAGTCGGGATTCTGAGATTAAAGTCAGAATTCTGAGATTAATGTCAGAATTCTGACTACACATGTCTGAGATTAAAGTCAAATTTCTGCAAAAAAAAGTCAGAATTCTGAAAAAAGTCAGAATTGTGAGATTAAAGTCAGAATTCTGTGATTAAAGTCAGAATTCTAAGAAAAAAAAGTCAGAATACTGAGAAAAAAGTCGGAATTCTTAGACTAAAGTCGGAATCCTGAGATTAAAGTCAGAATTCTGACGTTAGAATTCTGAGATTGAAGTCAAATTTCTGCAAAAAAAAAAAGTCAGAACTCTGAGATTAAAGCCTGAATTCTGAGATTGAAGTCAGAATTCTGAGAAAAAAGTGAGAATTCTGAGATTGAAGTCAGAATTCTGACTTTAATTAAAAAAAAAATGTAAAAATCAGTTAACTTGTTTTCAGTAGCCCTAATTCCGTACAAAACTGAAAAAAAGTACAAATTTTCTTTTCAATTTTTAAAAAGAAATCGGGGAAATATGAATATATATATATATATATGAAAAGCAGATATATTATAAACTCGTGTGTCTGAATAAAAAAATCGCTTTTTTTCTCCGCCTATCGCTGTCAGAGCACGTCATCCCTGCTACGTCATCACGTAGAGTTCAGACTACCTCAGGCTATGGCGCTTCCTGAGTGGATGGTAACGTTCGTGGTCGCTGCATCCTTCTTCTGTTTCTTCTGTTTATTTCTTCGGTACAGGCGGTCCACGACAGCGTTTTGCTGGAAGCTAGTTAGCAGGATAATGGCTCGAACAGAGAAGCCGCTGTTCCGAATCGCGTAAGTAAACCTTCAGAAACCAGTCTTCTGTCTCTGCAGCTGATCAACATTTATTGTTTTAGTTGTTTTGCTGATGGCATCCCATCTCTGTTGCGACTCGGGATGACTCCAGATGCTGGTTGCAAGTTTGTGGCAACGACTTAAGGCCCGGATATTTGTTTTCCTTCCAGATACACTCTTTACACGAGGACCAGACTGGGTTATATGTACTACAAAAGGCAAATGAGGAAAGCCAGGGAAAATTATCCTGCTGGACATTCTGCAACCCATCCCATGGAGTTTAACGGTACACGAACATTCCGTGATCCTACTCTGTCACCCATGGCAACCAAAACTTTAGTTCATTTTGTTGGGACCTAATAGGATGATGATATATTAAAACCCTACCCTACCTCAATAAAAACCTCCGTTTTTAATTTCATTCTTAATTCACCAAAAAAATGCAACGATTACCCATGAATAGTCCATTATCCTTAAATACAAAGAAATTGCACAACTGCAAACCCACCAAAACTATCCCTGACTGTCTGAATCAGGGGTTGCAATCTGTGTTTTGGCTCTGAATAGCATCTTAAGTTATATGAAGAAGCAACTAATGTATTGTAATAACATATACCAGTCTTAGAAGCTTTTGCACGTTTTTTTTTTTTTTTTTTTTACCAGTCTTAGAAGCTTTTGCAAGTTTTTTTTTTTTTTTTATAGAATAGATGATTGGATTTTTTTAAACATAGAATGACATTAAAAGGGGTAATTGAAAGCAAAGCTGAGTAGATGAATAACGATAGTCCAGTGGGTGAAATGGACGTACAGAGAAGTTCAAACCCCATCATGTCCTCCTTTCTTTGCAAATCTCACAATTCTAAACTTAAATGGCCAATTCCAAACGAAGCACCGACATCAACTCGGGGATGTTGTCTTATTTGGTTCTGGCCTGTGCTTTTGTCATGCCCTGAAATCCACATACAGACCAGCCCACTGGTTCACGGTCCCAAGAACATGAATAGAGGTAGATGAAAGACACCAGTTTAGCTGTTTAGCCTATAGTTGGGTTTACTTCTACAAGAATTACAAAGCAGGCAGTTTCTCTATTGAAAATGAGCCAGAACCACAGGTGGAAATGCAGTGTTCCAGGCTGCACAGAGAAAGGGGAACATTTTTATTTCTGGGCCACCGACTGAACCGGAACGGCCCCCGTCCGCCAGGGTACCTGGGCCAGCCCTGGAGTTGACGTCTCAGTTCTAGTGCCCAGTGTGTTTCGACTACGTGCTGCACTGTAGTCGACCAAAATCCCACTGGACATTTTTTTAGGTATGAAAAGTAGGACATGTCCAGGAAAAAGGGGACATCTGGTCACCCTACCATATCAACAATTTAATGTTTCAGTGAGTGAGTGCTTGTTGCTATGATGCATCTTTGCTCAGCAACTTCGCTCGTTGTTGTAAACCAACCAATCAGCGCACAGCTCATCTAAATATTCATGAGCATACCTTAAAAGGAAGAAAAACCTGTCGTTTAATTATAGGGCTTTTAACCAGGCTTGCATTAGGGCTCATAGAACAGCAACTATGCCATTTTCAGCCCAACCAATGTTACCCTATTCAGAGACCTTAAGGACCAGCACCAAATACCCTATAGAATCATTCTATGACCCCTTTTAAATAGCAAGAAATGTGTTTTGTAGATCTTCTTTTCTTGTAATTAGTTTGGAAATGTTTATTTTTTCTATATAGAAGAAAATCATGTTTCATCTTTATGAAATTTTTCAGTTTTTTCCTTATTTAAAAATCTAAAAATACAAATGAACTTTTAGGTGTTTCAAATGGCAACAGATTTACTATATTATATATTTGCCAAAAAAATAATGAGCTGTGGTTTTATTTGAAGAGGTATATAATATCAGACGGACTCAGGACAAAATGGCTCTTTGAATTTTAAACTTTGCAGACACCTGATCTAAACCGACAGACAAGGCAGAGGACCAGCAGTCAAAGGGATCAGCATCGGTGGGAGAACCTGTTTACAAAAAAAGCTAATAATAGTACAAAAATGTCCTTTGAAGTAGAGCGAGAGGAAGATAGCTGTTGTTAAAAGGCAGTCAAATTAACTTTCTACAAATTCTGTCAGGGACACAGCAGTAGGAAGGTGCACTGGTCATATAAAAAGTCCAGAACAGCGACGCTAAGAATGCCAGACATGCAGTGGGAATAATTGCTTGTGGGAAAACTAATTGTGCACACATCACATCGCACAAGCAAGGGAAGTAATGTGACGATGGCATCATGCTCTGGGAATGTTTTTTATTTAGCAGGGGTAGGAAGGCTGGTCAGGGTTGATGTAAAGATTAATAGGACTACACACTGGACGATATGCCAATAAAATAAAGAAAAACCCGCTGTTTCTTTCCTCGTCGTTCAGAATGATCTAAGAAAATGATAACATACAATCACAGTAAAATCCTTTGAAGCCTGTGGTTGTATAATGGAAATGTTCAACCAGTCTGCAATAGTAGTGTTATTTACCATGCATTCAAAGCTTGTGTTTGCATATCTTATCTGTCTTCTTTTCTGTTCACAGGTATAAAAATAATTCCCATCTCAGTGCTGTCTGACAACTACAGCTACCTTATAATCGACACTGCATCCAGTGTTGCCGTTGCTGTAGACCCTGCAGACCCTCAAAAAGTTCAGGTAAACATTACCAGCAGTCATTTCCATCAATACTAAAGTTTCAATCCTAACATGTGAGCACAATTTCTAAATATGCTGAAAGTTTCGGTACTCATGCTTTGTTTCTATTTACTATTGCCAACTTAGTTGTTGGTGAGAAAAGCAAATACAGTTATTGGAGCGGATAACTGTCAGGAAATTAACTTCCTGCTTAGATTTTGCAGCTTTTGGCTACGTTCACACTGCAGGCCTTGATGCTCATTTCCGATTTTTTTGTGAAATCCAAATTTTTTGCGTTGCCGTTCAAATTTCCAAATATATGCGACTTGTATGTGATCTCCTGTGTGAACTGCAGTCATACAACGCATGCGCAGTAGAGGAAGCAATGATGTCACAGGCCAACGTGCTCTGTGTTTACGGAAGTAAACATGGATGGTGCATCTAGTGATCTTTCCCAACCATAAAAACACAATCTTTTCAACGTGGTTAAACATAAATACTGCTCTACGCATCATCGTCCGCCAAGTTTGTTGTTTTTCTTGCCGCTTCTTCATAGCAACACCCAGAATAGTGACCTTTGTGGGATATTAATGGCGTTCAGGTCGCATGAATGCGACACAGGTCGCATTTGAACAGAGTCGTTATGGGTCGGATTGAAAAAATCGGATCTGTGTTGTTCAGACTGCCATGAAAAGATCAGATACAGGTCGCATATGGGCCAAAAAATCGGATTTGCAGTCAGTTTAGTAAGAGGCATGCCCAGTCAGTTCTTTCTCATTTCTCATGCCTCTTTATCAACAATCAGAAACATTTGGCAGCTCTGTACTCTATTAAATGCACAGTTCCTGCTGTGTTTTTGTCATATCGTCATTAAAGATCTGCTTCATTCTAACTCTTCAGGCAGTGCTTGAGGAAGAGGGAGCCATGCTAGAAGCTATACTTTGTACACACAAGCACTGGTGAGTATAGAATCATGTGAATTTAGCCAACATCAGAGTTTAGTGGTTGTGGTTTTTTAAGCACTTATAGTTCATCTAAATCAAATCCTTGTTTTGTTCTGTCCAAATTTCATGTTTCTTTTGTTTTTTTTTTAGGGACCACAGTGGGGGCAACAAAGGTCTGAAAAGGCTACACAGTTCATGTCACGTGTATGGAAGCGCCGCAGATAACATTCCTGGCCTCACGCAGTAAGTCCCAGCCTGCAGAGGCCAGAGCTCAGACACGCACATAACAGTTAGCCTTTTACTGTAATGAGTCGTTCAGTCAGCACTCCAGGCAGCTGACTTCACAGTCGATTGAAATGCAGCCATAAACTGTTCTTCTGTGTGTGGTGCTGGTTAACTTTAAATAGGTAATCCTGGCAGAGTTTATTTATTATTTTTTAGATTTTAACATGTCCATGTGAATCACCATAATTTTTTCCTGCGATCGGTTTGATTTCTTTTTATTCCTTTCTTCTCTCTCCAGCCCCCTCTCACACAGAGACTCTGTGAAAGTCGGTCGGATGCACTTTAAAGCTCTGTTCACACCTGGACACACCGTGGGTCACATGATCTACCTCCTGGATGGCCAAGCAGTCGGTTCCCCCTCCAGCCTCTTCTCTGGTGATCTGGTGTTCCTCTCCGGATGTGGTCAGTTTACCCTTCAATGTTTGATAGCTTATAGCCCCATTTACACTACCCTCTGAAAACCGATCCGTGGAGAGTTCGGAACGAGTTAACCATGCTGAGCTCAGTTCCTTACACATCACACTAACACGGTTCGTCGCCTCCTAGTGATGATCTACGGTACTACTGCTCACTAGAGATAAACAAGCAAATCAACATGGCGGCGCCTGTAACATTCAAGAAGTTTGAGGAGAGTCAGGCAAAGAAGGCAACCTTTGGTGAATTTACTTGACAGTCGGCTTTTGGGAAGTGGATCCGACAAACGATAGTCTAATCAGGGCTTACAGACGGAGGAAACAATGACAGACGTTAGGCTCCTCACACTGCTAAGCAGAATCATCACTGGACATCATGTGGCACGGTAGGGGTGCTGGTATGTTATAAATGTCTGATATTTCATAATTACGGAGGCTGACTGTAAGGAGATGACGCGGCCTGCTCTTCGCTCTTTCTTATCTGAGAACCGAGCCAGAATCTCAGTTACCATGCTCGGACCTATCTCGGCACAGTTAATAAAGAGGTAGTGTAAATGGGGCTTATGTGTAGAGGTTTTCAAAACAGATATTCATCTATAGTATAGATCCACTCTGGTTTTATCAAATTTGCTGGTTCAGAAAGGTTCCTTGTTGAAGACTTTCCGTGATTTCTGTAAAAATAAAGAAATTTCAGTATTTTCTAAGTCTGGATAAATATTCAAAAACATAATAATGCATACATTTGCTGTCCAGTAGCTTTAGTGCTCTTTCCTTCTATCTTTCCTCCTTTGTCTAATACCTTTCCTTCCTCCCTCCTTCCTTCTCTCCTTCCCTGTGGTCTATTATTCCTCATCTACTTTCCTTATTTTCTTTCCTAAATTTACGTCATTGTGTCCTTCCTAGCTCTTTCCGTTCTTCCTGTTGAATAATCTATATTAACCTTCTGTAAAAAACAAATCTGCAAATTCATTGTGAGCTTCAGTATTTTGTGTTTTAAAAGAAAAACTATGTAAACTCCAGTCTATAGCTTTTGTGAGAAAATTGTTGGAAGTCCATTTAATATAAAATTAATGTAATCTAAAGTTTTTATTTAATTTGCACATTATTTCTTAAGCACAAAGAGTGTCTGAAAATGTTTAAGTTGTTATCCGCCTACAGCTGTTCTCCTGGGGTGTAACTCTGTTCAGGCACATTGGTCCTTTTCTTTCATACACTCCTCAAAGTGGAAAAGATGGATGCTGGAATTTTACTAAGTCAGGAGTTGCCTGAGAGAAATAGCTGTCTACCTTATCTTTTTTATATCATGAGTCAACAATGATTTCTTACTTTAAATCAATTGAAGTGAAAATCAATTCAAAAAGGACAATAAAATTAGAAGACAATAGACCCAGGTTTATCTTGCTATTACATGGTAAGGGGAGGACCTTAATCCCCAATGCTCACTGTTTGAGAACTGCAGTGGCATCTTGGTGTCTCCAAGTGTTCACAACTATCAGATGCCATCTTCCTTCCAGCTGGGATTAAAAAAGAAAGTTTCTCACCTACTGTTATCAAGATTAGTTTAAATGAGATACTAAACTGGACCCTGTTAATCCGATGAAACCAAAACAGATCTTTTGTGCATCAACAACTCCATAAAGATCTGGAAAATCTCTTTTTTGTCATTAAGTGATGGAGGATCCATGGTGGGTTCCTGGAAACCGTTACAGGAAAAATAAAAACTAATTTTTCTTCTGGTTTTTCTGTAGGATATTTATCCAAGAACGCTCTAAAGCAGAGGCTGCAGTTATTGCACTAAATAGTATTGATAATGATACTGCTGTCATCTTTTAGGAAACAGAGGACCACATACAGTAGATAGATCATTTGCAGCACTATTAGTCCTCCTTTGTTTGTACATGTATTAAAGAGGCTAATACCAGCACTTTGCTGCAACCTGCTTCTATCTTTCATAAGGACAGACTCTCATGGCTCTTTTCCCTTCAGCAGATGCTAATTCTATTCTTTCAACTTGTACTCAACAAGTCAGGACGTGTGTGAAAAATAAGACGGCAGTGCAATGCTGGAAAACCCACAATTTTATAACATTTTAAGTAAACTGCTATAGGTGAACTTTGCCGTGAAGTAAAAGTAAAATATTTATTGCAAATTGTGGGTTTCTTTTAGTTCTGCTGTTGTTGTGTTAATGGAATCACTAACTGTATGATCCGATGATCTGAACTTGATTTTTTTCAGGGAGGATGTTTGAGGGCAGCGCCACAACGATGCTCTCATCGCTGGACACGGTTGTTTCATTAAGTGACGATACTTTACTATGGCCAGGTACGTAAATCTGCTCAGTCGTCAGATATTACAGCTTTTTCTGCAAACTGGCATGTAAACAGAGTTTTTGTGTAGTTGTAAAATGTTTGGAATTTGATGTTTGTATTTTCTTGGTCTGGATAAAGGTAGAAAATTATCATATTTTCAGACTTTAGTAACTTTTCTCGAATATTGTGTTCTTCCTTTCTTTACTTCCTCATTTCTTAATTTCATTTTATTTTACTTGTGTCCTTTCTATCAGATTTTCCCTGCTGTCCTTCCTTCCTTCTTTTCCTTTAAAACTCTTATGTGTCCTTCTTTTCTTTACTCACTTGTGGCCTTCCACTCTTCCTTCTACTTTTCTTAATTTCTCGTGTTCTTTTTTTCCTTTTTTTTTTTTCTTTTTTTTTTTTTTTTTTTTTTTTGTCTCTGCCATGCTTCCAATTCTTTTTTTTATATCTTCGCGTTCTCCTGTTTTTTTCCCCCTCTGTCCTTTCTGTTTCCTTTCTTGTATTCTTTTTTACTTTTCTCCATCTTACCTTCTGTATCTCTTAGCCTATAGTCACAGTTCCCCCGTTTTCAACAGTGAACTAATTTAAAATTATACAGTAATAAACACTCATATTTCTTTTCCAGTGTGTTATTAACAAAGCTTGATGGCAGTTGTTGAAGCAAAGGGAAGTTTTTCCATAACCCTGTAAATGTGTGTTTGTTAGTTTACATTATGTCTCCTCTTTTTACTGCACCGATCTCTCTAGAGTCAGTCCTCTGTGGGCTAAAAGCTTTCAAGTCTAGTTACATGTGAGGCATATTTCTATGTGTCCTCTGACAACCCTGCAGGTCATGAGTATGCAGAGGACAACCTGCTGTTTGCTGCTGAGGTCGAGCCACGAAACGCTGTTAGGGAGAACAAATACCAGTGGGTGCTGCAGCAAAGAGGCCAGAAGCTGTGTTCGGTAAGGATATCTTTTCCATTGTTATGCTTCTCAAGCACACCTTCCCAGAAAGGACTCATGTCGTCCAGCACCTACAACCTAGACTTATCGGTTGTATACAGTTTACATGCTGTTAAAGCTAGGCTCCACAATCCCACCAACCTCCCTCCCTCCCTCCTTCCTTAGGCTTACTTCATCTGTGATGCAGTCTGCAGCCAGGTGAAGGCTCTAACTTTAGGGCTTACCTGGAATTTAGATTGCTTTTTACCTCTTATCAATGCAACATGGCCGCAGAAGCTGTTTCACTACTTTTTTATTTTTTTTTACCTTGCAAAGTTTTTTCAGCCTGCATTCCCAAAACAGCGTGTTGCAAAACTTTTTATATCTCTTGATCTTTTTTAGTATTCCATCACTTTCTGTTCATAGTCTTCCCTCATTGATCAGTGTGGAAACACGGATCGGTTTTGGCTTAATGCTGGAGATGCCTGCGGAGATGTGCCAATTAGCAACACCAGAGGACAGCAAAATATGGAAATGATATGCCAATTCAGAGACAACGATTAAAGGAGTGATCTTGTCGACTTTTTCCAAGTTAAAACGTGTGTTATGCTACGTTCACACTGGATGTGCTTTGGGCAGCAAAAAAGTGACCGGCTGCTTCATTTTTTATGCTTTTATACATTGTCAGACTCACGTTAAGAGGAGCCCTGATGCTCCAGCAAAGTGCGTACAGATGTATCTGATGCTTCTGCTTCTCCTGTGTTCAGTGGCAAAGAGCAGCTTTGCTATATTTGCTGTGTTAAGTTGGTAAAAAAGTAGTTTAATATTTATTTTTTAGTGAGAAAGTCCACCTCAAGACATCGTCTGTGCATGAAAATGACGAACCTGCCTTAAATATTAGTTTGCTGTCAGAGCTGCTCAGATCCTCTGGCCTGGTCGCCTTTTAGGGGTTTTCTGCTACTTTTGCAGCAGCTGGAAGTAGATGTTAGTGTTTTTCAGGTATGTGGTGCAAACTGTGGGCAACAGCATAATAAAAGCAAACACATTTTGCCGGCAGATTCCGATATTTTTAGTTAATTAAGCGTTTATAAACAGATTCAGAGGAGTGATCATAACCATCTTTATTAGCAGCAATGTGTCTGTCTCCCTGCCACCTCCCAGATCAGTGCGTCACATGCATCAAATGTGCAGAAGCCTTATGCTTCAGATGCTCAGATGCATCTAGATGCGCTGCTCCTGCTGCTCGAGACGCACTGCAAGACCTTTGACTTTGCATGTAAACCAGCTGCTTCTACTACTTCAATCGTGTGCGGTGTGAACGTCGCATTAGTGATGGGTTTCAGCTAACATTTGCGAGAAATAGTGTGTATGAAAGTATTTTTTTTATCTTGGATATTATGTGGTCTTGTTCAAACCAAAAAAGCCAACAGGAACTTCCTCTCCACAGAGCCCAGTGTTGGTTCCTCCTCCTTGATTAGAGTCAAACCTGAAAGGATGCTAACGTTAGCCCCTCCTGCTATATTGTGTATGTAAAGTAGCAGATTATGACTCATTTAATCACCATTAAAACCCTTTCTGTTTATGGTTTTAAAGTTTAAATCTGGGATGCTTCTCTTTCTTAACAGGGTCCATCTCTTTCCTCATTTAGGAACAGATATTATTTTAATACCATAGAATTTCAAGAGGCAACTATCATGGCCAGCTGTGTTAAAATGTGTCGCTGCAGGGAATTTCTCATCTGCAATTCAAATATAATGTTTGTGTCTAGAAACCCTGATTTCTAGCTCTGTTGGCTTTGCCATTGTATACCAGGCTGTGTCTGCATTTCAATGCCCAAAAATTTTATTCACTACAAGTAACCTTGTTCAGGTTTAGAAAAAAAAACATAACTTTTGATCAAAGGGCTACACTGAGCACTAGTGAAGCAGGAGAAATTACCCTGAGGTCACAGAGACGAGAAACTGGTAAGGAGGGTTTTAACAGTCGGCCTTTACCCAGAGATCTTTCAAATTATTGGCCCTGTTATAAAAAAAAATAAAATCTTAACCTAAAAGTGTTGCTGTGATAAACATGATATTTTAATTTATTTTGTTAAAGCTCACATATGTAATAATGACAGGGATTTACTGACAGAAATGTGATATATTCCACATAAGTATGGTATCTATTAGGGGCTAAAATAACAGATTAATCAAGAAAACCTGCAGTTCTGTATCTCAATGCTGCCTCTTTTAGATAATATACTTTTTATTTTTTTCCATCTGGATGAAGAACATAAGGAGTTAAAAGACTGCTTAAATTAATTTATGCTCTTGAATGTTAAAGGGTGAATAGGGATGACGTCCCATGTGTTAAGGCCTATTAACATAGCTTGGTTTAGTTGAATCTTCGATTTTCATGGTGTTAAAATGGTGTCTGCTCCTAAAAAGAGGAGGTGATGGAGATGGACTCATGTTACAACAGAAACATTCTGGATTCACACTTTACTCTCAGTATAGCAGAAAGATGAATCTTTAACTCTTTTCTCTGAATCGTACACTTTGCCCAATTGTGTTACTTTGTAGGAAATCTAACTGGCCCAATTTTATTTTTCATATTTCTGACTAAAAAATCTACTATTTTAATTCAGGTTCCTGTTATCAGAAAGCAGTTTTTACTCATTTTTAATCCCTCAGTGTTGCAGCTTCATAGTAATGTACTCGGTTCCAGGTGCTGTTGGCTCATGTTCGGGGATTTTCTTGGAAAAAGGAAGTCACATCTGACTTCAGACAGACATTTTGGCTTGCTACAGAAGGGAAATGCCAGGTGTTTGCTAATAAGATTAGCATAGGCTCTGGTCTATCCATGTGTTCCACAAAGCCATGGCAGTGTGATGGTGAACGGGTTCGAACTGAGCCAAGACGCTGACACCAAAGCAGCCTAATGAGATTCAGGCTCTGTTCATGGTTTCTGTTTAGGGTTGATTTTCACAGTTCCATGTGTTCTGTGTAAAATCTTACAGTGTCCTGGCATCATGTTCAACTAAAACTGCCAATTAAATGGGACTTTATCTGACAGACCAACACAAAAGTAAAAACACAATTTTTAAGATTTCTTTATTATTGTTTATTTCTAATAATTTATAAAATTATTAGTGAACTTTTACTACCTTTTGCATCATACCAGTATCAATTCTTACAGGAACACAATTTGAGAGATTCTGTAGGCTTATTTATATTCAGGTATGTGATCAATCACTGATCATCAGTGTCACATGTATATTGCAGCTTTACAGGAGGCTTAAAACTGGGTGAGGAACAACTAAACTCTGCTACTAAAGTTGGGGAAGACAGTTTAGAAGATGTCCAGCAGTCCCATCAGCACAGAGCAAGCAGAAACCAGTGAGACCAGAGCACTCCCATCTACTGTCTGGAGAAGTATGGCCAGAGGTTGTCTTCATGGAAGAGATGCAACCAAAAGGCCTTACCTACAATGTAGAATAAATGCCAAACAATTCAAATATGCTTGAAAACACAGGAACAGGAGTTCAGAAAAATTGCAGCAGTTGCTCTAAATTGAAGAGTCAAAAGGTGAAATATTTGGTTGGAGCAGAAGACAGTTTGTCTGTCAAGAGAGCGGCACAATAATGAGTGTGTGCATGTAAAAGTGATGCATGATGGAAGTTCCTTAAACATTAGGGGGTACATTTCTGCAAACCGTGTTGGAGATTCGTTCAGGATTAATGGCGTTCACAATGCTGAGAAGTACAGGCAGACATTTAGCCATCGTACCATACCATCAAGGAAGCAAATGATTGGCCCTAAATTTGTTCAAGTAGGACAAAGATCCTAAACATACAACCAAAGTCATGGAAAACTACCTTCGGGGTAAAGAATGAGATCAATGGTGATGAGCCCTGATCTCAGCCCCATGAGGGTGTCTGGGATTCCATGAAAAGTCAGAGAGAAGTAAGAAAAACTACAGACGATATGCGTTTGATTCTCCAAGATGTTTGGACAAACCTACCAGCAAAGTTCCTTTAAAAAAATGTATGCAGGTTTATATAAAATAAACAATGCTTTTTGAAGGCAATGGGTGGTCATACTAAATTTTGATTTCTCTTTTGTTCATTAACTGTATTTTCTTGGTGAATGAAAATTAATTATTAGAACTTTTTGTTTTTTAACACCTACATAAAAAGTTTGAACTGTACAGAAAAGTCAAGCGCTATGAATAATTTTGCAAGGTAGTGTAGAACTATAGGATTCATATGAAAAATGTAAAAGCACCCTGGTTGTCTTCAGATTCTTATTCTAAAGTTATATTACTTAAAAAAATACTATTTACATGACAAATAAACAAACAAGGCTGTTATATTAGGTTTTTTCCATTGCTATTTTAACTATTCATGATAATGTTCAAGTTGTTTTGGGGATTTTAGCTGCAAAGAATAATGAATACAGATACACAGGGTGAAATTCAAACTGCGTCAGACTTTCAGGGATTTCCAGCCACAGGAATCCCTGACTGCATTTATTTCCTTTCTCCTAAAGAGAAAAGAAAATGCTTTAGCTTTCTGAGATGGAATCATTTATTTATTTTTTTATGTGCTTCCTATTCAGAGTCCCTCCACCATCGGGGAAGAGAAGCAGTACAACCCTTTTCTACGCAGCCACTCTGCAGAGCTCCATCAGGCTCTGGGGATCCAGCAGCTCCCAGATGAAGACTGGACCCAGTTCAGGGCAAGGGTCTTAGAGGAACTGAGAAAATGCAAAGACCACTACAACAGGAGGTAGTAAAACAGGACTGCCATACGACAATATAAAGAAAAGAGCTCACTGTTGGTGGAAATGAGTGATCTTTAAGGTTATGGTATTTGAAAGTTCATGAATGGGCATTATGACATTTTGAAATTAATCTGTGACCAAAAGGACCAATAGGTGCATCTTCCCCATTTAATCATACCACAACATATAATAGACCCATTTCCCTCCAGGGGTTGTAGGTTAATTACAAATGTATTTTGTAATCTAGATTAGAAGGAGTGCTAAATCACTTAGGCAGACTATAAATGCACATACAATAAGTGAGTATGTTGTGGTTGATCTACAAAGATGGCGTACACGATTCATAAGATGCACAAACAGGTTTGATAGCCCTGAGTTAAATGGGTAAATTGCATGTAGAGAGCAGCTGTGAAAGTAAGAGGAAATATTGCCATGGATTGGAGGTAATGGATACTTAAAAAATAATAATTATATAGGATATGGATATCATTTGTACTCTACATATGGGTAGGTCAGACTGTTGCAAATAAAAAAGAAACATTTAAAAATCCTGATTTACACCTGCTGAAGATCAGCTTTGGGTGTGCTAAAAAGTTTGCACTCGTTTTATTACACACAAACTCTAAAGATCAGGTCTGTAAAGCTGCATGACTGATGTTTGGTTGTTTTACAAGTAGCTTCAGCCGGGTTTGTGTTATCGGTACCTTAAGCAGTTTAGCCAGTGAGGTACTGAATTGTTTGCTCTTAAAATACAACTCAGAGGACTTCTAACTGATAAGGTTTGATCTGCAGGCCTTTTGCACGGTTTCAAGTCCTGATTAAGACTTGTTTTTTTCTCTGTCATCATTTATGGACTGAAGTGTTTGGTTTTGATATATGTTTTTGTAATGCAAAGTTCAGAGTTACGTTGAATTTAACAAATTCCACTTTAGATAGCACTTCAACCATGCAGAAATTTTCCTGCAGTTTGATTTTAGGCAAAGAAGAAAAACACTATTTCTATGTAGAGATAATTCTAGGGAATGTTTTCTGTTTTTTTTCCTCAATTGTGTGCATACTTGAAGGTTCTTTTTTTTAGTGGGGATGTGTGAATTACTTTCAAATTGTCAGTGGCCTATCAGCAGTAGACAGCAATCAGAGCTTTTCTAGTGTCAAAACACAAAACAAACTGAGACTAGTAGGCTCAATTATAGGGTACTAAACTGGGACAATATTATGGAAACTTTATATGATCAATCTGACTTTGCATTGATTAAATCTACAGTACCTGCATGTAGTTCATAGAAATGTTTGCTGACATGATATAAAGTAAAATGCAGCACCTTCCACAAATATATGTCTCCTAATGCAGGGGAATAATCCCAACATAAAGAAACTAGCCTTGAATTATTACTTAAACTTTAATCTCAAAGTTTGGAAAATCATTAGTTTTTTCATTAGTAGTTTTTTATGGATCTTTATTTTACTAAAGTGAGAAGTGTTGAACTTTTTCCTAAATATTGAAGCGGATCCCAATCTTTTTTAGACTCCATTTTCAAATGAGGATCATGGCGAAACATGCTTAGTGAGAGAAAGGGTTCACCTGACTTAATTTGCAAAGATATCAACAGTCAGAGCAAAAATAAAAAAAGTTAAAAACAGCTGGAACTACAAGCAACAGGGCTTAATGAGGAGTCGAGAAAAGATGGAAAGAATGTAAAAAGAAAAAAGAAAGAAATATTCTCCAAACCACTGAGTTAAAAAAAAGAAATTACTGTAATATCAGGTTTCCTATAGATCTTTTCCAGTGGCGTTGATATACAAGGAGCGTGCAGCAGCATGTGCTCAGTTCTTCAGAAATGATACTATGGTTTTACTGGTACCAGGTGCCAACGCACAGTAGCTCATGTTGTATCTTGAGGCTGAAGTGTCAAAATATCTGATCTCATAGCTCTGATTGCTGTTTATGAGAGTTTAAAAAAAAAAATTCTCTTTTTCAAAGCACTTCCCCTTTTCTTCTTTGTTTTTGATTAAAAAACAGAAATAATATTTCAACTCTTAAAGTGTACTAAAAGTTGTGAAGGTACGGTGGTGTAAGTTCTGTAACCTGAGTGAAATATCATTGAAGGGAACTTTTATTTTTTGTTTTTGTTTTTTCTTTTACTGGCAGCCTGCAGAACTGATACTGGATTTAATATGAAGAAAACTACATTCAGACTGGTGTTGAATAATTACCATACAAGCACATTTAGCAGTAAATGGGTTCAGACATGTTAAGCAAAAAAGGTAATTTTGTCTTTCTCTTTGAAAGATGAAACTTCCCTGTAGTTCTGACTGAAAGAATGTTTTTATTTGACCAGTTAAAATGTAGATAAACTTATTTATGTTGTATATTACTGAATTATCACGGTACAGATTTATTTGCGGCTGCATGCAATCAGCTAAAAAAGATGTTGGTCACTCACACAGAAGAGGATGCAAAATGTTCCTTTTATTGCTTTTTGGTTAATGTTATGACAGAACGTGAATTATTAAAGCCCCTACCAAAGTACTCCACACCAAACTGATGCATGAATGACGCACCAGCTAAAGACCAGCCTATTTTATTTTAAAAAATTGAAGTTTCCAATAACAGGGTGACAATGATTTTGGAGCAGTGCTTTATTGCACGTCTAATGTCCTAAAAACGCCTGGATAGCAGACATCATGCTTTTTATTTTAGGCATCTTTTCATAGGGTGCCCCACAAGGAACCTGTGAACAAAATAAACACCTATAAAATCTTGAACAGTGCCATCTACTGTTCACTTTTGTGCCACTTGAATATCATTTTATGTTTTATTATCTGGTTCTGTTCTTATTTTGCATTCAAAGTTATTCTTTTCTTTAATATCTTTCCATTTTCATAAGATTTAGACCAAATCAGTCAAAGTAAACCATTGAAAATCTGCTTTTCTGCGACCTTGGAGCCTCTTTTATTGCTAGAATTGATTTCTCTTTCATTTGTTTTGTTATAAATGAGTCAAAACGAAGCTCATGCATGTGCATAATTATTTTTCAACTTGCTGTAATCTTTCTGAACCAGACTGAGCCAAAAGCAGACGGATATGTGTAACCTTGGCTAATGTGTCCCAAACATCCCGAATAGAAAACAGCCTAAGGGATTTATTATGCTGTGATAAGACTGTGCATCTTTTAGTAAAATGTATCAACATCTTTAATTGCACAATATTGTGATTTCCTTGGGCAATTTATAGAATCTGTAAGAAATGCACAATAAATGTTATTTGTATTAAGTTTTTTTGCTGGTGTTTTATCATTTTTCAAGCTCTTTGAATTTAGGCCTCTTTTATTAGTTAGAAATGTTTTCATTCTTTTTTTAATAATTTGAACTGTTTTTATAGACTTTTTTGTGTTTGGAAAAAGGCCTTTGTTGTTTTACCACTGATGTATAATGTAAGGAATGATGAAATTAATACATTTAAGCCTAGAATAGGGATGTATCACAGAGATAAAAGTAACTCTTAACTATAACAGTTATATATCAATAATTAATGTACAAAAATAAAACGTCCACATGGTTTATGCTTTAATGCTCAATGAGTTCTGGTTGATTTTGTGTTTTTATGCTTTATATTGTTGTAGGTCCTACAGTTGCCTACATTTTATAGTTTTTTATTTTTTTATTTTATTTTTTATAGTTTATAAGCCTACAGGTTTTACATTCTTGAAATTAAATCATTCAGTCCATGTATCCTTTTATCCATTGAGCTTCATTTATCCCATCTGAATGAAATAATGCTGTGGATTCATGTTTTCTCAGAACTACGCAACTGCCTAAGCTTTCAAGGTACAACATGCCATGAATGGCTGATTAGCAAATCAGGAGCTGAGTTGAGGAACTATGCAGATAGCAAAGTAGAAAAAAAAGTTTTTTGTCATCTTTTCACATTCAAACCTAACATCAGCTTTTCAGGGAGGATTCCATTTGATCATATCCGTATCAAAGTTGCAGGTAAACATGAAATATTTCACATTCTGGACCCTCTGAGAATCTAAATCAGAGAATGAATGTAAGACATTTAACAGACATTCAGACAAAGCTTGATTTGAAGCACAACAGTCATCAAGGTCATAAAATATTTCTTAATTCAAGACCCAGGAACACCATCTGGAATCAAAAGGTTTTGACTCAAATTATTGTATATTAAGAAGGTCATTTAGAAGGTAACAGAGGTTCTTGCGACAGTATTATTATTACAGTTTGAAAAAAAGTAAAACATTTAAAAAATATTTATATTTTGACACTTTTCCATGTTCCACTCTTTAAAAGTTGCATTAATACAACTTCAGATGATTGGTCATTAATTATCCTTGTCTCCATTTTTCAAAACGTCTTTAATTAGTCCCTCCATCCTTACTTATGTTTATTAATCCATCTCCTTTGGTTCTAAGTTTTTAATCCCTATTTAAAAAGGGGACAAAATCTGAAATAAATGATAGTAAATTGATTCATACTAAATCTAAATAATAAATTCATAATCCTTGTGGCTATGCTGTTAGAAAAACTAAAGAGGATAAAAGATTCAGGAAATTAAGGCAGAATAGGTTTGGAATTGTGATTTTTTTATTTTTTTTTTTAGTGATAAAAGATTTAGCTCCATTTTAAGAATTATTGTAGAGATTCCATTTCCTAAATGTTTCAACATTTTCAGGTGTTTTATAAATTGGTATATTAAGACTAAGAAAGGAAACAAAAAAACAGACAGTCCAGGTTTTAGTTTAGACTTTCTAACAATTTATTTGTATTGTTTTAAATAAAGAGTTTAATTTAGAAAGTTTGCATCTTAATTAGATTTTAAAGAAATACCAAAATGGTAACAATCTTATAAAAAAAAAAAAAAGAAAAGACAACAACAACCTTTGTTCAGATATTGTAGGAGAAGAATGAAATAAATGAATCTTTAAACTTTGGAAACATTTTGTAAGAACTTCCCATTCTTCTGCAGATGAGCACCTGAGCATTTTCACCCCTGGTGATTGTTGACTGAGATGTTATTGCATTTTGTTTGATGAAAATTCACACCTTATTTACATACATTTGAGCTCTAAATATCACCACTCGGGAGACTGTTTTACTTCAGGTTATGTTTTAATGAGCGGGTATGAAAGCAGACTCCTCCATCAGAGGTGTGTTTGCTATTTGTTGTCTTTATGAGTCTTGCACGCTGACAGCTGGGTTATTTTTTCATCTCCAATAACTCTTAAATAACATCTTAACCTACTTTGTCGAAAGATACTCTGAGAAACGAGATGGTGAAGTTTTAGGTGACAAAGCACTACAGTTAAATATTTCAATATTTAATACCATGAACTAGTATTTTGTATCACGAACGGATTACAAGTCTAATTTATGGAAAACTGATATTGAACAAAAATACTAATCACATAAAAACAAAATGGTGTCTTGTTTTGTTTTTTACAATAAGAAAAATTTTATATTACTTACACTCTTTTGGTTATGTTTTTTGTCTAAGAAGATACTGAACATGATTAAAGGTCTATGCCAATTTTATCTCCATAGCACCTTAAAATTAGCAAGACTGACAAAACTAGTTAAAAAGTGGGCTCAAAGGAAAAAGTCTTCAATAAATGCAGTAAAGGGGAAAAAATATAATTAAATTAGAGAAACAAATTATAAAAGGATGAGCTAAAACGGCAAAACACCACAACGTGACAACGCTAATTGGACTCAAAATGAACTCAAAAGAAAACCCAGGAAAAAAATGGAGTTTAAAGCTACAGTGTGTAATTTTCAGCGACATCTAGCGTTCAGACTGCAGACCGCAGCAAGATGAACATCTCCCCCCCACCGCTTCTCCCCCCCAACAGTACGGCGAGCGTTACGGGACAAAATGTCTTCCACGACGTCCGCATCACCT